CCTGGAAACTAACGAATAATTATGTCCAAAACTAAATGATTAATTTGATTCTCGATTTGTGCTGTGGTCGGTTTTTATATTCGCCACTGAATAAATACCGGCGAAGGACAATTTCGGAGATTTAAAGAATATTTTTAAGAAATAAACGATATGAAAGATAAAGTTTTTAATTTTACTCTTCTGGATTGATTTTAATAAAAACGAAATAAAAACAATATGAAACCAACTACCATTTTACTCTGTTCCGCTTTGGCTATCTTCTGTGGAATACTAGCTCAGCAATCCGTCGAAACCTTAATTAATACCTCACTAACCTTATTACCGTTTAATATTCGAACTGTTTAAGCCTAGTAAGAGAAATTAAAAACTTATGAAACATGTTGGCAAAATCATCAGCAAACGAGCCTTGAAAGCCATAATTGAAGATGGGGCTCGTTACTGGTGAAATAAAACGCAAAAGCAAATTGAAGATAAAAAAATTATGCTCAATAATAACTCTCAACTATTCCAATACTCACACCTAACTTTTACCTGCGATAAATGTCAGCAAGAATTCCAAAACTCTCTTCTTTATTCTCCTAGTGCGGATAAAGAAAAATTAGCCCAACATCCTACTTATTGTTCGGATTGTGTCAAGCCTAGTTTATTGGTTCCGATTGCTAAGGGTTCTAAGCCGAGAAAAAAGGCCAAAGTTAAAAAAAATACGGTCGCTTACTACCAATGTCTATCGGCTTGCTGCCAGCAAGGAATTAGTCCCAAAAAGATTACGCAGGTAGCTCATGAATGTAAGCAAAATAGTGCCGGTATCTTAGCCCAAAGAACTCAGGAGATTAGGAAACTAAATGAGGCTTATCAGCAAATTGGGATTAGTTTAACCGCTTTATTGCAACCGATTAAGGAAGAATAAGAATAAAAGAATTATGACTAAAAAGAAAATTATTTGAACTCTAACTGCCGTTACGGTTTCCGGACTAGCCGCTTATTCAATCTTTTTTCACCAGCCGGAGGATCAGGAATTTAGAAGTTGCCTTTTTTGTTCGCTTAAAAATAATTCCGGAATCGTCGGATTTGCGACTGGTTTCTGTGTAGTGGGGGCGGTTTATGCTTGACAGAAATAGTTAACTATGATTACCTGCTGTGAATTAGCCCTCTATATTGCCGTGGGGGCTTTTGTAGTCATCTTAGCCCTCTTAGCCATGTTTTTTGGTTATAACCTAAGCTTAGACCGTCGCACGGTTAAATTAGAAAAAAAGAATGGTAAAGAACAACACCAAATCGATGAATTAAAAAAAGAAGTTGAGCGATTAAAACGGGGAGATAAAAACTAGTATTCTTTTTAATTTTTTTAGCATAT